TTCAGACAAGAGTCCCCCTTAACTGGAGAGAAAGACTCCCCATGAGGCCAAACCCACCCCCCAAAAACAAGACCCACCCCATGGTAAAGTGGCAGGAGCCCCATCTGGGTTCCAACTCCAGCTCTGCTGTGAGACCCGCCAGGCACTGTCTCTCTAGGAGCACACACAGGACTTAGAAGGCCCCCCCCACCCCCAAAGGCCCTCCTCACTCTGTTTATGCAGCTAATATTCCAAGGCTCCATGTAGACTGTGTGCAGAGGAGTTAACCTCAGGGTTCAAATAGCTTGGGGTGTGAATGCTGGCTGTGTTTTGTGCCCTCAGACAAGTTGTTTCCTGTATCTCGACCTCAGTTTCCTCATCTGTAAAATAAAAACAATGACATACAGTTTGGAGGTTATTGTGAGGATTGAATGAGATAGTGTATACCTTCAGGAGTGCAGGAGAGGGAGACACTGATGAGTGAAGAATAAGTTTTGGAGCCACTGGATCTGCTGTGAAGTCCCAGCTCCTATACTTAGCTGCTGTGTGGTGCAGGATAATGACATAACCTCTCTGAGCTGCACTTTCTCACTGTGCTTGCCTTGCATAGTCTTTACAAAGATTAAGTGAGCTGAGGTGTGTAAGGTGCATGGAACAAGGCTGGATACATAGAAAGCTCTTGATAAATGCTGTGATTTTACCGTGGTTCCCTCCTAGCCTCTCATGCACTTACCTTCTCCCTCTAGCTCCACCCTGAATGAAGTCAACACCTCCTCTACCATCTCCTGTGATAGCCCCCTGGACCCCCAAGAGGAACCAGAGCCAGAATCCCAGCCGGAGCCCCAGGTGGAGCCGGAGCCGGAGCCGGAGCCGGAGTGGCCGCCGGATTCGAGCTCTCCCGGGCCTCGGGCTGAGGTGGAGGACAGCTTCCTGTAGGGGGCTGGCCCCCACCCTGCCCTGCCTGAACCGAAGCTCCCCCTTGACCGCTCAGCACCCTGCACCTCCTGGCCTGGCCTGGCTTCCCATCAGCCAGGCTGTTCCCATCAGCCGTCCCCTTCTGGAAAGCTTTGGCTCCTGGCAGGTTGCACCCCAACCCCTGGGGCTGGTTTAAGAGGCAGAAAAACTGCAGGGGCCGCGACAAGCTCTCTGCCTCCAGGGAGGCCATGGGACTCTGAGCTGGGGTTCTCCCAAAGGACTCCGTTTCTCCATCTGTAAGGTGGGAAAGTTGGGCTTGGTGCCTCACATTCTGGGATGCTCTCCCTGGCTGACAGATGGGGAGGTTGGAATCCCCGGGGAGATTCTCAAGGCTCATGAGGTGATAAGTGAACTTTGTTTTATTCAGCCAGTTACCCCTCAAGGAGCTGCAGCTCTCTCCTCCCACTTTTATCTGCCCAAGGGGAAGGGGAGGGACGCTGGCATCCCTGGCTCCTGGCTGAGCTGGGGCCTGGCCTTGGACAGTGTTGCCGCATCCAGAAGCCGCCTCCCCGTCACGCCAGTCTTCGCTTTCCCAGGCCCGAGCTGGTCTGGGGCCGTCCATGCTTACTTAATGCTGGGGGCTAAGCCAAGTCCAGGACATCCTGGCCTGTAGTCCCTACCCCAGGCACGAGGGGCACACCTCCCCATAGAAAGTGCCCACGTCCATGTCTTCCTCATCCCATGTGTCCTGGGGCCTTTATCCTCATCACTGCCGTCTTACTCCACCCACCTGAGCCTCCAGGGCCAGACGGGCCCATGCCTGTGATGAGTGTGTTGACGTGCCTGCATGAAGTGTCCACATGTGTGGACCGGTATGTGGACCTTCTGTGCATTGAACCCTCTGCACATAGAGAGCTTGCAGGAATTCCTTGCCCTCTCTGGGCCTGTTTTCCCTGTTGAAATATGAGCAGGTTGGACTCACTGACTTCTGGTGCTTGCCAGCATTAACATGCTAGAATATACCAGGGGTTACACACTTGCCCAGATGAAGCAAAGCCAAATACCCCAAACCTCCATCCTGGGGTTCAGCTGGATGGAGGTTCCAGACCACATATCGCACTCTAGGCATTCAGGAACGGTGACCCTTCCCCAAGCCCCCTGTAAGTCCCCAAAGGCCAGCTGCCTGGGCCTTGACTCAGAGTGACAGCCAGTGTCCTGAAAAGCCCCTAGTAGCTTCCCCAGGGACATAAGATCACAGGAGCCCTTTCAGCACCCACAATGACCTCTGGAGTTATCCTGGGCCAAAGAGGCAGAAAGAACAAATCCGACCACCTGATGCAGCCCCGCACTCCAGCACCTGCTTTCGAGATCCATGCCGAAGTCATAACGGACAGTGAGGGCCCCTGGGGGGCCCTGGAAATGACGAGAAGCCTTGGATGGGGAACCTGAGAAAGGGGTGCCAGAGGTGGGTGCTCTGAGGATTGCCTTCTCACCTGCCAGCTGCCCCGTTCCTGAGGCAGTGCCGCTGGGGTAGGGCTTTGTCACTGCCACGGCCCACTCACCTCACTGCCAGCCACACCCCAGCCCAGTGGGCACTGAAGTGCACGGAGAGTGAGGGCTCTGGCCAAGACCACTGGCTGGGGGAGTGCCAGGAAGGCGAGGAGGGAAGGTCGGCCCCCCCTGGGCACCCCCTCCCTGCCCTGGGGCCCCCGGAGCCCGGCTGAGGAGAGGGAGTGGGTTCTCAATACGGTACCAAAGATGTAATCGCCTAGGTTTACAATTATTTTTAGGACTCACATTAACTCACATTTATACAACAGAAATGCTATTTTGTATGCCATCAAAATTTCCTATCTGTGTACTTTTTTTTTTAAGGGAAAGATTTTAATAATAAACCTGGTGCTTCTCACTCACAGATTTTGTGGTCTCTTGCCAGTTTGGGTGCCTATGTCTGGGAGGTGGCAGGCGTGGAGTAAGGCCTATGGGGCTCACCCCAGCTATCAGGTCCCCACACAGTTCCCTTCAGCTCTGAGTCTGGTTTCCATTTGGAAGATGGGGATTTTCATACACATCCCCACCCCACCCCTCGCTGGTAGCTGGGTGACCTGGACACTGGGCTTTGGTTTTCCAAGTTGGAAAATGAAAAGGCTCAGCTCTGGCTCTGCAGACCTTGCCCTGGGTTGGGCAGGACTGTTCACAGGCTCATGTTAAGGAGCCTGAGCCCCCCCTGCTGCCCCCACCCCACCCTACCATGTGCTTTGGCTTTGGCTATTAAGCTGGTCTCTCCCTGCCCTCCTCCACTCTGCCTGTGGGCCAGATTGAGGCTGGTGTGGCTCGTGAGAGGCATCCACTAAAGCCCAGGTTCCAGGCCCTGGTGAGTAGTGGTCCGGTCCCAGGTAGGAGCAGGGCAGACGAAGCACCCAGGGGGGCAGAGGGCCGGAAGAAGTGAGGAGAAAGCGTGAAGGAGAGAGAGGAAGAGGAATGGAGGAAAGTGTGGGGGGGAGTGCGACCAGGGCTAGGCCAGGGGAGGGAAAAAGGCCTGGCTGTGGCTCTCAGGGTAGTCTTGCCAGGCCGGGCAGAGGGGTGCAGAGCTGGGCAGAGCTCCCTGGCCCTCATGGCTGCAGCAGCTCAGTGGTGTGGGGCTGGTGTGAGCCGGGTATCCTGGTGCCTGATGGCCAGCTCGGCATTGGCCGTAGGCTCCACTGCCCAGCCCAGGCCTGGGAGACCCTGTCAGCAGCACGAAGCCAATGTCCATAGAGCTACCAGGGGCAGAAGGCTGAGTGCAGGGATCCTGGACCCAAGTTGGGGCTTCCTGGTCCTCTCACCTGTGCCTTTTGGGAAGGGTCACCTGAGGTGGAACCAGGTTCCAGCCTGAGCTACGTCCTGCTTGACTGTGTAAATGTGGCTATCCCTTGCTCTCTCTGAACTGGGGAAGCGGCATCTCTATCTGTTTCTGGGGGAGGGATCCCTTGTTTTGGAGCCACAGGTCTCCCTGGACTGCCTCCCGGAGTCTGGGGCTGTGGCTGTCAGTGGGGAGAGGAACAGAGACGTGTGGCAGCTCTGACTCACAGGTTCAGCTGCCAGCTCAGGAGCAGCTGAGCCGTGCCAGGGGAAACCCCTCCGCTGCTGGGCCTAGCCACAACCAAGCCCAGCCTCCTGGGGTCCTGGCTTCAGAGAATGCCCAGTGTCCATGGCCCCTTCTCTCCTGGCGATGTAGAAGATGAATAAGCCAATACTCAGATCTGCCCAGGAAAGAGAATAAACAGCCACATTCCTCACTCGTGGGGAAAGCGTCCGTCTGGCGGTCAGGAGACCTTGCCTGCCTCTACCTCAGGCCTATCCATATTTACACCACAGCAGGCCTCAATTTCCCCGGCTGTAGATGGAGTAAGTGATGCTATACAGAGATAAAGGATGATGAAACACTGGCGACCACTTACGAGTATTGAGCAGTTACTATGTGCCAGGTCTGTCCTGTTGCTTCACACACACATTTTCTCATTTGACCCTCACATCAACCTTATGAACCAGGTACCCCTATTGTCCCCATATTACTCCAAAGGAGAAACAAGTTTAGGGAGACTGTGAAGTGACTTGCTCAAGGTCATCTGGTTGGTATAGCAGGGATGGGATCTGGGCCTGGGCCTAGCCAACTCCCAAGCCAGGGCTCAGGGCAGCAAAGCACCCAGCCAAGGTTGTAGATCTGCGGTGCGGGGAAACCTGTGTCCCAGCCCCTGTCTCCTGACTCCAGACATCTCTGGTGCTGTGTATCCCCAAGAGAAAGAGTAGGAAAGTGCTGGTAATAGGAAAGAGCTAAGTGAATCTGAGAGCTAGATAAAAATAATTAGAAAGAGTTTGGTGGAGGGCGTGGACCTCATGGCCACCAGTGCAGAGGGGTACAGGAGTCGGGGGAGAGGTTACCCTAGGTCAGCCTTAGCTGGCTGCCTCTTCCCAATTTCACCACTCAGGCAGGCCCAAGGGAACGGGTGAGCTGGAATTTTCCTCCCAGACGATGAGCCACTTGGACTACAATATTCTTCCACCACCCTATTCACAGCCAGGGCCCTTGTTCCTGGAAAAAGCGAAAGGCTGAAAGAAACTATTGCGCTTGGGGCCCTTGAACTTCAGCAGATGTGGTGCCTCACAAACCCCCGTTACTGCCCTTTCTTTGAATGAAGGCACCATCTCCAAAAGGCCAGTTTTATTTTAGTTTCTTATTTGGCTTAATAATATAATTAAATAATAATTTAATTATTTTTAAATTATTATTTAATTATTTTTAATAATAATAATTAAAAGTCACTTTCATAAAAAACGTATGTAACATTTGCCTTCGTTAAAAATATCCATTGCCAAAAATATACAAAATATACAAAGAGAAAGTTTTTGTGTATTTCACATTTTAGACTCCAGGCTCCAGTGACATTTCAAACGCTTATCATCTTTATTCAGAAACTGTGTGTATAGGAATTTATCTCACGAAAATTCTGCCTCCCCCTCTTAATCATTTAGTTATATTCGTCTAGGCATCCCTGCCCCCTTACATCCATACTAATATTTGTATTTCATATCTATAGCTATATACATACACATATGATTATAACTTTAAACAAAACTACCACTACCATCTTGCAACTTTTTGTTTTCCACTTAACAATGCGTCGTGGACATAGTCACAGGTCAGTTGTATGTACAGATATTAATTCATTCATTTTGAGAGCTGCTCATAATTTAAAAGCATGTCTGTGCCATAAAATATTTAACCAATCCCGTACAGATGGACATTTAGTGTTTCCAAGTGATAAATTATGCTAGAATGGCCATTGTCTGTGAAATACATTTATAGTTGCACATTTATGTAGGTATCTTTTTCCATAGGCTAAATACTTGGACACAGAGGTGCTGAGTAAAGAGAATAAACATTTAAAATGTCACTAGGGTCTACAAGTTCCCTTTAAAAAACACAAAATCATAGAGTTTCTGGAAGGCTAAGAAAATCAAACATAAAACATGATGAAAGCAACATAATTGAATTCTGGCTAGGTGCTCTGGCCTCGCGGAAGAAGTCTGGAGTCTCTTTCTTCTGTTTGTTGAAAAAAAAAAAGGCCACAAACAAGTCATAGAAAAGACTTAGACAGAGAGCACCAAGCAGAGACTCTGCCTGGAGCTTCGAAGACTTGCTGAGGCAGAAACTTTCCCGGGATGGGAAATTTCCTGCAGGTAGGCTCCCAGCTTACCCCGCCAATGAGGGCATCGTCTTCCCTCCCTTCTCCCCCCCCCACCTCCCCATTGGGAAACCCAGCATCCCCTCACTACCCTGGCTGTGCCCTGGCCCCTCACGGTTTAATGTGTTCCTACTGGTGGCCCCATGTGATGCTCACAATAAACCTATGAGACAAGACAAGGGATTAGTTCCAGATGAGGAAGCTGAGACTCAGAGCCATTAAGTCTGGCCCAAGGTCACACGCGGGGGGGGGGGGGGGGCCTCTTGCCTGCCAGGCTGGTGTCCTTGCTACTGCCTTCCTCAGGGAGTCTCTAAATCCAGTTCCTGCACTCAAGGAGGGGGGCAAGCTAGGCCCTGGGGTCAGGGTATCAGCTGCCCATTCAGGGTGTGGTTCCTGAATTCCCTGGGTGGGCTCCCCCTTGGAATGGGGTTCTGGGGTTTCTCTGGGCTGGGATGAATTCCCACAGCTCAGAATACAACCTGCCATGGCTGCCTCAGGGGCCTGATGAGGAGGCCTGGCCTGGGGCAGGGGACTGGCTCTTCTCAGAATCCAGCAGGGACTCAGGGACATCACCGAAGCTGGACTGTCTCCCTGTGACCCCCTTCCACTGACTCAGGCCCTGCCCGCCTCTCTGGGCCCCCTTTGGTCAGCCCGCCCTCAACAATGCTCTCCTTGGGGCTCCTCTATTCCTTCTAACAGGCTCGGGCGCAGTCTCATAGTCTCTATCTCGTTTGGGGTTTTATGGGTAATCACTGCAAGAAAGTAGAAAGGTCACAAACACGGGGAAGTGACAAAGCTTCTGTAAAATCACAGAATTCTCAGCGTGCCTCTTCCCCTTCTGGAGGGACAAGATGGAAGTTTCCACGCCCGAAAGTTTCTCTTCTTCATCAGTGATCTTCCTGAAGCACACTAGGATCTT